TTAGCCCTCTATTGACAATAAGAAATTGTCCATGATAGATTAAAGGAAAACCATTTGTATATTCATCCATGTTTGGAATATTTGGCATTGTAATTAAAACTAACTTCATTCGGTAATGCCATACATAATGGCATAAAATAATTATACAGACACTCTTCATCCTTCATTACTTTTAGTTTGACACGTTAGACAAATGAATCTTGCTGAATGCTATGTACAATTACATTTATACGGCGAAATGCGTGTATACAATACTGTGATGATACTGCTATATTTACCGCTCTATTATAATCCATGATAACCATCGTATACATTTGCTGATGATATTTACATGGGTATGAACTTCGACTTTCATATTAAGCAGTCTTAGTATCATTAAAATTTCAAGAGCCATCTCTCGAATTCTGAAATGTTCGATGACATATATATTGCACCAGATAGTTTATTCCTATTACACGAGTGATGGCATTTATGTAAAATTATTAGTTTACTCTCTTACAATATAATTTAAATCGTGTTAAACAAGTATGTAACATTCGAGTTTTTTTATATAATACTTAGTATGATATTGTCCAAGTAATGTTGAATTGCGCCCTCTATTCCACTATATCTTCTATTGACTTAAGGTGACTTTACTTATTCGAAAAAAGTGGTGATTTAGTTTAATCGCAGATACCGTGCTGGGTTATCGTAATTATAGGCAATTCTCTCATGACCTTGACATACCGTACACGAAGTACACATATTGGTGTGTGATTTACGCATATTTACGTAACCGCTGCATATATTGTAACACGAATAAAATTGGCTGACATCGTTTTACCACAACGAAGGTATGATCACTGGACTGTTATACAGGCCCATTGTTTACGATGAATTGATCCTAAGCTGAATGTAAACACAATCTGTTTTACGATATGTAATGCACAACATGCGTCTTCTCTCATTTTACGCGTGAAAAGAGTGTACGAAACAAATATCTCGAATGTTCATTAATATTTTCAATAAATTATAATTTGTGTACGTGGTTCCCACGATGTTTATTATTGGTTAATTATAGTTGTATGTACAGGCCATGTTAGAGTAGAAGTCGACTCATATACCACCAAGTACAGTGTATATCATTTTAATTCGTGTTCAATATACAACACTGCCATTTGTGTGTGATATCTTAGATAAGTGTTAATGTTAATGAACAATATTAAATACTACATTATAAATAATTTTTTTGCATTTCGATTATCCTGTGAGTATATACGGTTATTATAAACGATTAGTCTAAGTTTGACGTAAAGATAATCACCGTTTTCATTGCGAGAGTCAATGAACAGACTTTTATCTGCATGAGATGATATGCTATGTCACTACGTAATTGGTAACTCATTATAAGGAAGTAAATAATCTGGTTACCAAAGATATGAACGATAATCGAGAAAAGGAACACGTTTATTTTATGAAGGCCGAATATTTTATTAGATAGAGTTTTAGATAGATTAGTTTGTTTTAGATAGAGGGTAAAGGTTTTCAACAGATCTGGAGATTTTTTGCGCTAGGCCTTATCATTCTATACCAGGTATTTTATTGTGATAGCAATGATAGGGAACAGCGCCCTATTCTCTTCGATGAGATCTGCATGACCTGCTTTATACGATTCTATTGCGAATAACTCTTCTGTTCTTGTTGTTGTATCCACTTTGACTTAATCAGCACACTGTATTTTCGTTGTAAAATGATTTATTTCACCATTTGGATGACAACTATTGTCTGTAAGATTAATTATATGTGGTACGTGCCAGCTTAAGTGTATTGTGTATATATATATATATATATATATATATATATATATATATATATATATATATATATATATATACAAAACAATAATAAAGCATTTTTTGTATAATATCCTTCCCAAATAATAATGTGGGTATAATCGTACATATGAATTGGCTTTAATATAAACTATATATAAATATGCATTGTGAATTTGAACTTCTTTCCTTTCCAGCTCTCTGACAAAAAAACAAACAATTTTACCCTATTTACCCCAATATGACGTATTGAGTCACGCAGTTTTCAGATATGACGATGATAGTATAGCACCTCAAAGTGGATAAGTTTAAGCTAAACATAGAACAGGTCTATGTCTACGTGATATACTACGCTATGCTTCTCAAATAATGAATTACTCATTATAAGGAAATACATAATTTGGTTACCATGGACAGACTATACTCGTTTATCTGAGTATGTTGTTCGTATAAAGATATCAATTGACATACGAATAATACAGATAGTTCTTTCGTAATACACGGAGATGGACTTGTATGTACAATTATTAGGTCCCTGTCTTGCAATAAGATTTTTTTTATGATAGCGGCAATTTCGATAACAAAAACAGCATACATCTAGTGCGTTGTTGTTGATAATTGCTATTGTCGAATACTGTGTTGCAAAATCATTTTACTGTATTTTGTTGGGAAAAAAGTCACATAATCTCTGAGATAACAATAATTAATTTGCTCAGATTGATTGAATGTGGTACGTGTCAGGTTAAATGATGTACTCCTGCCATAATGGCGAAGTAAATAATGGGTACTTCTAAGTAAACTAATAGACATGTTCCTTTGCATTCCGTCTACTTTTTTCCGTTGATTATTTTTTTCTGTTTATTTACAGCATATAAGGTACATATATATAAATTTGCTATTATTGTTTTACCACACTGATTGTATAATCTCTGTACATATATTGTTGTACACATCCATGATTTACGATGATTGTATTGTATCGTGTCTCATTTTAGATATCGCGAATTAACCGAGCTAATTTTCTACGCTAATAATAAATATAGCTGCAGTCATATAAATTGGTTAATGATTGAAAACCGTGATTCAGGGCGTGTTAAAGGTCGACGTATATACCATGTACAGTGTTTTGTATTTATTTATTTTTTGTGTCACTTCAAGTAAAACACAACACTGCTCAAAATACATAATCGAAATTCAATAAAACTATAAATTTACATAGAAATTTCAAAAACTTTGAAGTAGTCAGGTCAGTGCAACACTTTAAATAACTTTCCACATGTTTGATGTGTTTCCCAAGCTTCCCGGTTTTATTCGCAATTTAAAATTCAGTATTCTGAATGCTCTGAACAAAGTCCTGAAATCCTTCAAAACATGGTATTTTTTGTTGACATCGTCCTATGTAAATAAACCTCTTGGCAAGCAAGATTAAACAATTCAATAGTTGTGGCATTAAATTATCTCCCAATAAAATAAATTCAGAGCTGGTTCCCATTGTCGGAAAACTCTCCAGTCTCCCCTATTTCTCTTTAAAAACTTTCTAAAACCTGCTTACATATGAACATTCACAGAATAGATGAAGCAATGTTTCATCACATATTTCCGATCTTGGTAAAATGAAGTATTGATTCACTATATCCGAAACCACCAACTTAGCTTTACTTTGATTTAGATGATAGTGTGCTCCAATAAATTTAATGCCCAACATATCATCTTGATTTAAAATAGTAAATTGTGACATGTCAATATCATGTTTCCACTTAGCTGGCAGTGCCGTGAAAACACAACACCATTTCAAAAAGCAATTGCGAGGTACTCCCTTCAGTTCAACTTCATTCCAATCAAGCAACTGTCCCTCCTCACTGAACAGGTCAACGACATACTGGATGCCTGCCTCTGAAAAGTGTCTGAAATACATACTCTTACCTTCCTGGAAGATATGATGATTATTCTATATACTTTGATTAAGAGCGCTGAAGTAGACTGCGCTACTATGTAATTCAGAAACTTTAAACTCATTCTATTCTAAGCAAAACACGGATGTGTTGTAGGAATAAATATGATTCAGTTGGTATTTTGACCTCCATTTGCACATAAATTGTGACTAAACAATACATAATTACAATAACTAACTGTACATAAACCGAGGATTCACGTTCATTAATGAATGAATATATTGATATACACAGATTTGTTAGTACAAGCGACAACTATGCCGATCGTATATTATACAGAAGAAAGATGTTTTTTCAGAATTGATTTTGAACTTAATGCATATTTCTAGACGTGAACGTATGTCAGAAGTACATAAATTACGATGTCATAAAATACAATATTATCGTGAAAGATGGCGCACATGCCGTTTGATCTGTAATACCTTAATCATTATATGTAAACATACTCAAACACGGATTAGAGCAAATATTTGAATGTTTCAAAGTATAATTATTTTGAATTGATTTATATGAAAGCAGAGTTACAACAATACTTAAAATAGTAAATGCCCGAAATTGCAGTAATTATTTGCAAAAATTCAAAATGGAGAGCCAAACCGCGTTACTTAAAAATATGTAATGTTTCTTGAAAGAAGTTTTGGTCATACTCACAGCATGTGTGGCAGCACTGTAATTACAAGTAGGGTAGCCCATTGGGCATGAAATCTTACGGACTTGGAGTTAAATTTGGGCAAATAGCACAAATATTTTAAAAACTCTAGAAATCACGTGATATTTTGAATTTCGTACAACCAGAAAATGATATATTGCACCAATTTCTCGGTTTTAGAACATTTTTGTTCGTATACTGTCTATGGTAAATGGGTATGACATTCACAAGAAAACATAGCCGTCACTAGACTTCGAATGCCATCTTGGATTATGCTAAAAGTAATATGTAAAGGTTATGTGAACAAATAATCTCTCGAACGTGATTGGTCAGTACAAGCTCACGGAATGGTTGACAAGAAGGCAGGACTATATTATTTTTCTCGGTTCATGTCCACGTAAAAAATAAAAAAAACAAAAAAAAAAACGATAAAAAGAGGAACACAATAAGTAAATGTGTTCTCTCATGGCGAGCGCGTTGTAATTCGAATATCGTATCGATACGTATACGACTCTTTGCCTCGTGTCCATTTTGTGTTAAGCATGGTGTGTTTCTGGTGAGAACAGTTATATTATTCTATTTAATTTGTCAGCCTTTATCAGGAGACGGAAAGAATTCTACTTTTACCCCACCCCTAAAATTAACCCTCTCCCCTACCAACAAGCGCTCCTCAATTTAATTGTATATGCCCTACCTAAGAAGAGGACTTTATGAGCAGTAATTCGTTTCTTTTTTCTGAAAAATCTTTGCTGAAAACGTACGACATTTTCTATTAAGCTGACTATTTTTCTGAACCAGTTTGTTCTCCCATGATCGGAGCAAGTTTCAGCAGCAACATCCTGTGTTCGATGAGATATATGAATGCATGTTGACACCAGTTAATTATGTAAGCAGGTGATTTACCATCAAATAAAACATGTAGTTTACTATGATACGTGTCAGGTCATATTGCAGGTCATAGCCCCTGTCATTGATCCATCGTCCTTTTATACAAGTATAGTTAAGAAACACATCCTGTGACACCACCATACCCACGTCCGTGTTTCAGCATTTATTTAGTCAACTAGACTAACATCTTAACGCTAACAACGATAAATAACGGTCGCTTTTTAAGTTTGGGTCAGGTAAAAATACCTGTTAAATGATTTAGTATAGCAAATTATCTGTAAAACAAAACCCGAATCAGAGTTCGATTCGATTCGCGTTCAATTCGCGTTCAATTCATGTTCGATTCACGTAAGATTGAAACAAATACTTTCAAAGTGCGCATGACTAGTCATTGATACGTTTGCAAATGCGCCAATGGTGAAAGGACAATGATTATAAATAAAAAAAAAACATCATCAACAACCTTGATTCAAAGATTTGTTTTTAAATTGAGTGGTGATAATTTGTGCCTATATCATTTTTCACATAAGATTCATTTTCTTTGAACATATTTATGCGTTTCTTGTTTGTTTATAAGGATATTTTATACTTGTTTTGAGCCCACGTGACTTTCGATGTGAACGAGACTGTAGGACTATTTATAACCATGATTTTCTTCAAAAGAAATAGGTTGATCCCCATTTTCCTACACAAAATATGCTATATAAACTTTTGTGTAAATTATAGATATTTCAATGTGTACGTCAATCGAACGCAAATTGAACGGGAAACATACGTCAATCAGACGCGAATCGAACGTGAATCAAAGCGAATGCTGTCTTCACACTCGTACATCAATAAATGCTGCATGGATTATATTTTGTTGCTAAAACGTACGTCATAACAAACTATTTCACTAGATACACTGAACCATTGCACGCATGTTATTATACTTCGTTACTGTCTATTTGTGTTAACAGGAATTCAAATCATCATGACCACCGGGCATCACCAAAAAGTTCGCCTAATAACCGAGTTTAATATGTACAGAGGGCGCAGAATCGGTCTATGCATATTAAGTAAAATCTCTGAATTATTGAGATGTTCTTGATTGAACCAACAATAAAGTGACTTTGTAATTTGACATTTGGTCAGCAAATGATAATATACATCGTTAATGACAAAAACATAACTCGTTAACTTTACTAATCAATAATTCAAATATAAACACATGAAATATTCATGACATGGCAAAACATTACCTACATATAAGTACTAAGTGACAGAGTATATAGCTTAGATTGAAATCCCAGGTGCCGTGGGTAGTGGAGTCATGTTTAAAATTAACTCGTAATTTAAGATCATCCCTCCAAACAAGAAGCTTGGAAACTAATATTGGCCTGCTATTACATGCACAAATCGAAAACAATGTGAATCAATACAGATGGTTTTCAACATTAAACAAATCCCGTCTGTGAATCACCCTAGTGCATCAATGTGCCAAATTTTAATGAAATAGTCTATTATGCAAATTAGACGATTGCAATGCTAAAATGTCAGGTCTTCAATATTGTCTTATTACAATGCAATAATTATTTTGAATAATAAATAACACTCACTTTCGAAATGCTATCTAATTAAAAATTAGTTTAAGTTATTTTTGACATGGAAGATACAGATGTGCCTTATTTTCCATTAGTAAAAGATATTGATGCATATTCCGTAGCATCAGCTCCACGATTCTTTGGCTTCGATTGTCCACTGCTGGCCACGAGATTTAGTTGTACATCAAAATCTAAGTCGGCGTAGGCAATATCATTAACACGATCGCCCTGTAACTAAGAGAACATTTAATGTTTTATTATTTTGTGTTTCTTATCATTTAATCTATATAAGACAACATCAACAAATACCATAACATGGAACTAACCTTTGCATGTGATGTTGATTCATCCCTTTTAACATATTTATTTGCGTCTACGACCACTGTTTTGTTTTGGCCGTCAAACTCACCAGGCACATTGTCGTACGTTCGCTCAAGGACGGCTATTTTAGCAGACATTTCAGGCTTGTCACATACTTTACGTTTGACATTTCCTCTTGGTCTAGGTTTCACACTTTCATTCTTACTGATGGGTTCTTGTTGATCACGTGTCATCTGATCTGTAAATATCAGTACAGAACACAATCTGTCAATATGAACGATGTATTGCAATAAATGCCTACTGGCAATATAATTAGAGCAGTTTACATGCTGCAAGGGTATTTACAATGCAAACATTGTGCACTGATTAAATCACATGAATGAATTTTGTTTTTATACTTTCTTTTAATCAAAATATCAAACAATGTCCAATGATTCTGGTGCAAAAATTTAATTATTATTATGTATTATTAATAAATTATCTTTAAATATAAGCAAATACAAAATCACGATTACTTGTGTTATATAAACATATTTATGCAGTTTTCATGTATTTTTATAATAATCTATGCAGTTTATACCTTGCATCGGAGTTCTTTTATTGACATGATTAAAATCTTCGTTGGCATATATATTGGACTCTGTAACCCTGGAAATAATAGAAGATTGTATACATTGTTGAATTCTTATACAATTGCGAATCTCTTCAAAATTAGGATATTTAGCCAACAATCCAACAACCCAATTTATGATGAGATATAAATAAATCCTTGTTGTTGCGTTACAGTGTTAAATTTAGTAAACAACTACACAGACCTTGACCAAGTAATATTTATGTCCGTGATTTACGAACAATTTTCGAAAATTGCCAAACTAACAAAGTTCTTCTTTTCTACTGAACGATGAATCCAAATTTATTTGGTGTTCATCTATGACTGTCCTAAGTAAAAGTTAGCTACTATTGAAATCGCCGAGTTTTGGAATATTCCACACTGGTACAGTATATTTCTATCACCAGTACTACGACATGATCGTGAAAAACCTCTCCCACCAAATTAAATCGTTGCTGACGATATTCAATAAAAGTGAAATGATTATTACATTGCCAGTAATTACTGATTGTCACGGCATATATTTGTGGGATAACAATTACACTAATTACCATAAATTCGCGGGTTAAATGTATTAATTTACTAATTCATTAATCCAATTATTTGATTGATTAAAATTGTTGTCAGCAATTGTTGATATTTCGCGCCACATTTTTTTCCTTCAAGGATACATCATACGAATGGCGAAATCAAAAAGGTTTGGATCAGATTCAGTGACATTCTTTGTGTGGAGTCCGGTCAAACCCTGGTGGCAGCCATGTTTATTTATATTATTTAAGGATGCTTACGCGCGTAATCATTCCATATTTTGAATTCGCATTTCCTTTTATGGTAGGATGAGAATGCCCCGTCAAATACCACACAATTACTGCACCCTGTAACTAATGGTGTTACGGTGACAGATGTATAATAATTCTTATTACCTTGAAGGAGGAACAACAGTGTCTGAAAAAAATATATATATATTCTCTATGAAAAGTGTATTTGTATTTACCATAGAGAGATAAAACAAAATAATATTACTACGTATTAAATAAAAAAATACATTTTAATAAATCATGTTAGTCGTACTGAAACAGAACATATTATAACTAGGCATTAAATATTAACAACAACAATAATATGAGGTTATTACGAGGATATGCACACTCAAAATATGCATGACGACAGTACCACAGGAGTATCGACCGACGCACAACGGAGGTTGATGCGACTGCGTACTCTCTGTGTGCATACCTCCTAACCTCCTAATAACCTTATTATTATACATCTTTTCCTTCCAAGGATACATCATGGGAATTCAGAAATCCAATATGTTTAGAACAGAATCAGCGAACTTCTTTGTGTGGAATCCGGTCAAACCCTTGTGCCAGCCATGTTTGTTTTATTATTAGAGGACGCTTACGCGCGTAATCATTTCATATTTGGATTTCGCAGTTCCTATGATGGTAAGATGAAAATACCCCACAAAATACCGCAAAATTACGACACGCTGTAACTTATGGCGTTACGGTGACAGATGTATAATAATAATTAAAAATAAATTGTTCAAAGAGCAATAATATTGCTAAAAATATAATGATGTTAACGTTGAAAAATAACATTTTTTTATTAGTTTGAATGCAAAATGGGCAAACTTGCACAAATGAATAATATAACCGACATTTCTTAGAGTCTAGAAATTTAGCTAATTCTGTCTTTATTTGGATGCTCGAAGTAGTATTTAAGAATCTGAGATGTGTATATAGTGGGCATATAAACATCACGTGATACTCGTCTTCAATAGAATACGAGTTGCACACATAGATTTTTCTCGTGGTATTTTTAGTTACCTACTGCGATCAAAGCTCAGCGCGTGCGTTGAAATACAGAGTTCAGTAAACTATCTTTTAAAAGCTAGAATTATTTTGATGAAATTACAATATGTAATTATTTATATTGAGTATAAATCTACAGGGAGTAACTTACTCGTTCCATTAACCTTGTGTAATTCGCGAGTTGCTAAAATTTGGCGCACATTTTTCCTTGTGATTCTCAAGACCTAGTTTATTTATTGTAGATCACGATAAGTATTACGTATTTTGGCAATGTGACATTAATTGTGTATTACCTTCGGATTTAACCATCCAGTCTTCTCTGCGTATAAAATACACTAATATAATGTCAACTATGATGAGGATTAATGAACACATTAGGCATATTAGGATCTCTGTTTTATACGATTGACCGTCCTTCACTGGATAATATACTATACCTGCAAATAATTAATAATATGAATGTTTCTAGTGAGGAATTTTCTAAAACTTTATTTAATTATCGTTAAAGTAACTTAGAAATATATACACCAATGTATTGTAATATCAACCAATTCAACTATTACTTACTTGTCCCACTCAGGAAAACAACGAAATACGTCATATCAATATAGTTCTCTGCATAGCATGTGTAATTTCCATAATCTGTGTATGTCACGTTTGTAATTAACAACACACTAGTCTGTACTGTGTCTTTCTTTATTTCAACAATTATACTTCTGTTTGTACCGTTGATGACCTCATTCCCCAATGAATCATACCACGTGATATTGGAATCCGGGTTACTATTAACTTCACACGTTAGATTAGCTGTTTCCATTACGTCAGCTTTTACCAAACCCTCGTCAGTATTTTCAATAAATGGACTATCTGTGATTCGAAAAAACAACAATAACAAGAAATTGTTAATGATGTAGTCCCCATTGGAGTCAGGGGAAATGTTATTCAAACTAAAAATAAAGTTGCAGACCAAAAGCATAGTTAGTAATTATGAGTGAATAAACGGGTGATCTGGTATCAAGAAAATTTAGATGTATCATATTACTCTTCCAAAATAGAAATATAAGGTCCAAACGGGATTTCCTTTTCCAAGCTTATGTCGAGAGATATAGTAGTATGGTAAAAAGGCAAGATCGCAAGCAGTCAATCATCTTCAATCGGATTGTGAAAGTACCGGTAATTGTCATGGAAATCTCAACATATATAATTTGTAGAAAAAAAAAAACATGTCAACTACACATTTTCAAAAGTAAGGCTGCCAGTTGGTCATTTGGGATTTATTTGAGCACGAAACAAATCATCATGTCAACATATATATTGTGTGATTAAATTTGAACAAAAACCGACAAATCCTGTCCATGAAACCACATTTTCCAAAAAACAAAATTGATGCCAGTCACTGGTAGTACAGTGGTTGTCGCATCAGACTCATGATTGGTAGACCCAAGTTCAAAGTCTACCTTAGGCTGAACATCAAAAGGGTCGACCCCTACCCTGGATGAGTGTGCCACAGACTCAATGGGAAGGCAAATTCCACATGCCGAGATTCATTCACTAACGAATGCGACTTTGGGGGAACCTTGGTTAAGGTCTGCAGGTGCTTGTGTTCGACCGTGCCTGGTTGACGCCAGGATAGCGCATGCATTAATCTTGCCATTTGATAGGGAGATGGCCACACAGCCCTGTCATGTAGTCCCAAACAGGAAATGGCATCTGTGGCAAAATGCACTACGTGCAAGCACTTGCAATTTGCACTTACAAAAAAATGTCAGAAGAGACAACAGTGACATTCAATGTCCGGGACTATCGCCTGGCACCAAAAAAAAAAAAAGATTGATCTGATTATGGAACTAACATGAACATGTACTCCTCTACTAATTATGTATGAGAATGGTCTGAAAGCCTTGGAGATATAGTACTATGACCAAAATACATTCCGACTGTAAAACAAATTGTCGTGGACATGTAATCTAAAAAGTAGGATGTATGTAATAAATTTGAACAAAAACTGACAAAAGATGCATACGATAACACATTTTCAAAACAATGGCTGATAGAATGAATCAGTAAACCACTGCATGTACATTTGTCTCATATAAAGTAATAGGCACATACAAAACAATTAACAGATTTGGTCCACATGGTCCTGAAATATGGATGGATGGAAGGATGGATGGATAGGCGGACGGACAGACTTTGTTAGAACGAGGACCTATAAAATGATATTAAAGATGCTATACTAATAAAACATAGACACATACCACAGTGACCCTCTTACTCACAGTGCACATTCAGTACGGTTCTATTGGAAGAATACATTTCTTCATTGAATTCAGGATTATACGACTCACAATAAATCACCGCTCCATGGTCCAAATATGTCATTGACTTTGTTAGAATCTGTGATGTTTGCTTCCCATTATACTCTGCATGGGTATAACGTGGTACACTGAGTCCATCTTGTCTTTTCTGTCATCTACATACCATATTAACTCAGCTTGTGGATTACTACTACATGACGTACATGTCAATATTAACTCTTCACCAGCCGTTATATGACCATCGTAACCAGTAAGACTAGTCTGGCAAGGAAATGGCTCTGTAGGGGGAACTAAACATAATTGTGCTTCAATATATTAGTATATTTACACGTTGTATAATTAAATCAGCAATTATAATATTTATTTTATATTTCACGATCGATGAATTTAATAAATCAGAATAATCTATGTCTTTATCACGTGACCATGTTATCATTCACCAGTTTTGACATTTAGTGTCTGATATCACAGCAAATACGATACGGTTAACTTCGCGATATTCACTATAAATGTCTTCCCTATTCGGACAGTTTGTGGAAAAATGCAAAATGGCAATCTGTTCTATTTTTTTATCGCGGAGATATGAGATAACAATGATTACTCGCAAGGTTCATTAGTAATAACTCATTGGAATGCCTAAAAGTGCATTTTGAAAGTTTTCGCATTGTGTTTGCCTAAACCCGCCGTCAAGCGTAACTTCAACGTCCAACAACGAGTTTATAATCAAAATATAAACATAGCATTTGTATGCGAAGTTCAAGAAAATAATAATGTTGTCGTGTGATCAAATTACTAATTATTTGTTGTTGTTGTTGCTGTTGTTGTTGTTGGTTGCTTGGTCTAACTATTTGGCTGTCGTTCGCTCGGTCGGTCGTTTGGTGGGTCATTCCAAAATTTACCAACATCGTTCGTCCGTCCGTCTGGCCAAGAGAACTCAGGTACGCCCAACCGGTCTTGCTGTCATCTTTGTGATTCAATCCAATTACTTTCGTGTTCTTTTCTTTACCGATAGATTTGTTTATACTTCGCATACAATGCCGGAGGTAATCACGGTTTAGTAGAAATAATTTCTCTCGAAATTGATAAAATATTAGCCGACTAACCCTGCTCTGAACTGAACAAAATAAATTGTCGTGAGGGTCATTTCAATTAGCGTGCCAGAGGTAGGTGCAAAATAATTATTAAATGTATTGATAAGGATTTGAAAATTTTATAATGAACAATTGGCAAAAAACTAAGATGTTTGATTATATGCTGTGTTGATGGGAGTCTTTCGATTATGTATTTTTTGTGTACACAATGTACAGTGAATTCCGGAAGAAAAGAGAAATGTTCACATAACGCTTCCTTTCAAATAATGGTAAAAAAGAAAACGTGCAGAGACATTTAATTTTCTCTTAAAAAACTGTCCTTTATGGTGCCGTTATTTGTAATATTTGGTGAATAACGTCATTATATAAAATTGAAGCTAACTGCTTAATAAAAATATTGCATACTCACAATATACATCCAATATTATGTTGTCTGAATGAATAGTTTCGTAGTTTACGAACAGTAAAGATGCGCATTGATACACAGCGCTATTGTGTTGAGCGGTCAAATATATCTCCAATTCCTGCTGGGTGATGGTTCCATTGCATTCACCATCAATGTAGTCAGTATCAACAACAGTTTCGTATTCGCTGTTCATAACTAATGTATTATTTCGATACCATGCAATAGATGACGGTGGGTTACTACTACTAGATGTACACGTCACGGTTATGTATTCACCACGTTTGTAAGGATTGTTTGGTTCCGATAATAATATATCCATTGCAGCAACTGTTAATAATTAAAATACCAAATGCATTATTTTGTAAAATTTGTGCATTTCACTAATGAATCATAAGTGATGATGATAGAACGTTTGCGCTTTAATTCAATATCCGACTTTTGTTTAAACACAACACTACGATTTATGTTTGAAAGTCTTATTGTGCCGTGTTGACATTGTAAATATTCAAGAACGTTATACTTACATGATACATTTAGTGGTCCACTGCTACATGTGAGGGGAACTGTCTGTATAATATTGGTTGCTCCACACACATACACACCGGTATTATCAGCCCTGCTGAGAGTCCAATTATAAGTAGCAATACTCTCACTGTCGTCAGGTTCCGGTGTAGTTCCAGTCATGAACATGCCACTAGATGTATTTACCCATTGCAGAGTTGCGAGTGGGTTTCCATCTAATGATACACATGTCAGAGTAATTTCATTTCCTTCCTTGAAAACGTTGTTCTCTGCTGCCTCATTACACATTGGAGTATCTGGGGCATCTATGTACAAAATGAAATACAATCATACATATTATTTCTTTGTTGTGTAATGTACTGTATCGAAGTGTACTGCAAACATAATGTTATCATTTAACTTTACAGGTAATGGTCAAATGATGAGGGTGGTGAATGCAAATAATGTTGACAAGTTATAATTTATAAAACATACTTTACACATACATTTAACATCTAGTTGCCCAGTATCACAGTCATACGTCTTAGAAGATGCATCAGATTTACCAGTACACGTGTATACACGTCCATTGTCTGAAGACTCCAGTTTCCATGTACATGAAGAAATCGTTAAGTCATGAGTTGGTTCTTGCTTATTCCAGATGCAACTTTTCTCCAGTGGTTTTAAATAATTGTCATGCCAATACAATTCTGGAGTTGGATTCCCTCCACTGGCGCCACATATAATAACAATCTGATCTCCTTCCTGGAAATAGCCAGTGGATGGTTCATCAGATACAGTACAGTTTGGCCAACCATCATTTGGTAAATCTGCAAGGGATATATTTTTATAAATTATTATAAAAAAGAGACAATGATAAAATAACTAATAGAGTTATTCAGTGACCTACTTATGGATATTACCATATGGGAATATCAAACACAGATATGAAAATATAAATTTATCATGTAATATACTTACACCAAACATCGATTAGATCATAACACGAAGACGATCCAACTAAATTTGTCACATTACAAATATATACACCACTATCATTTCGATGAGTATTGTGTATAGTCAATTCTGTTCCATCTTTAGAAAATGTATACCGTTCAGATTCCTCTATATGATAGCCATCTTTGAACCACTGTACCGTTGGTGGCGGTATTCCTTCGGTCGTACATGTTAAAATCAAATCAACACCTTCCACTGGTTGCGTATTTTGTTGAAGTGTGCAATCTGGTGACTGAGATTCTGAAATATATTCGCAATATACATAACATATTGTAACCATAACGACATATCTTTACAATGAGTAATTTAAAGTGACAGTATCATATTATTCGTAATGCACTGCATATAGCTTGACAACAATCATAATAAAGCTGTTTTGAAGTTTAGAAAATAAATAAAACACTTTTATAAATACTTGTATTTACCTGACACAAAAGTATGTACTCCCTGATCAGTTACACCACCAGCTGATACTACACATACATAGTCATTTGAATCGTCAAGTTTTGTGTCATTAACGAAGACTAGCTTGACCAGTCAAATGAAAACCTGTCTTGATAGTCTGGTTGAAACAATGACAACTCCGTACATCTCCTGGAGGATAATAATTTGCCATTTCAGTGCCAGACATTCCGTCATACCATGTCAATATAGAACCTATTAGCGTCAGTCTCGTATACACAAATCAACGTCGTGTCATATCCAACAAGTCCAAATGTGATTGGATGCGGAACATTCACATCTACGGCTGACATACACTCTGGAAGGAAATGAGTATATGTTGTTCATAGAGTACACAATGTGTATATAATGATTGTATAATAATAGTAAATTCGCAACACTAAAATAAACAATCTATATAACCGTAATTTGAACAACTACTTACCAAATACACAGTTGATAAATATAAGCAAAAATAGCGTCACTGCACTGGGATTTAACAACATGACTGAAAGGCACCAGCCCTACGATAAGCGCAGGGCTACTGATAGATATATATCTTGTAAAGTTATTTGTAATACGGCTGACTGTGTTTCATAATCCAAAGTCCAAAGTTTGACTTTGAATTCATCCTCTCTGCCTTCATCTAGCTCACTCGAGATCATGTATTTTCTCCATGTCTCACCCTCGAAGATTATTTGTTCGGGTATAAAAGCACGGCCATTCCGATAAATATACACAATACAAAAGTAAATTTTAGCTGAGTACAGATGAATGCACAGAATGTAATCGCCGTCCATGGGGTGTAGTTATTTCCCCAATAGCGTATTTTTGGACGGCTCTATCGGGTGCCACCGTACCACCGTTATCCCAATTAATGTGTACAACATTAAACCACAGACTCGTCTGTGTTATGATTGTGGCAATGTATACAGCTGTAACGTAGTCTTGTTACTATGGAAACACAAATTTATTTCGATTTTTTGATAGAGTTGTTTGCAGAATGGTATTGTGAAATTACATTCAGTTCATTCTCAATTCATAATTTGAAGCTGTTAATTATCAATGGAAAACTTAGTATTATGAACAAACTTATTCCAGTTCACATTGTAGCTGAATAAAAATTATAAGATCAAGCCTGATATCGTTCTCTTTTCGCATACGCAATGGCGCTAGACGTGTATAAAAAATACACTGTTCAAGGTGCAAATCTGAGTTTGAAATATGTTTAAAATATGTCACCACAGCACAATGTATGGCAATATTGTTTTACTTCACGCTGCAATGTTCCATATATAACTGATTTGTGAGTTAACTTTTCATATAATTGTGTCATTATTGTTTTTAACACCATATTTTGCATTCACAATCAACGTTAACTTTAAACCGATACAAACACACGTATTGTGTTGCAATAATGTCGATTGTTGGGTCGGTGTGAGGGGTAACTGTTATATAAGCGTTGTAAAATCGCACCTGGAACACTCGATTTCATACAGTGGCAGACGTTTTGCAGAGTACTTAGAGATTGGTTAGAAAATTAAAAAAAATGCTCAAATT